CAAATACAGCATCCTTTCATGTTCAAAACGCTAGAAAAACAGGGATAACAGGAACATATTTCAACATGGTAAAAGCTATCTATGCTAAGCCCCAGGCCAACATCATTCTAAATGGAGAAACATTGAAAATATTCCCTCTAAAAACTGGAACAAGACAGGGATACCCTCTTTCAACACTGCTTTTTAACATAGTTCTTGAAACACTGGCCAGAGCAATGAGAGACCAAAAAAAAAAAAAAAATTAAAGGGCTACAGATAGGTAAAGAAGAACTCAAATTAGCACTATTTGCCGATGATATTATTCTATACTTAGAAGTCCCAAAAAGTTTCACCAGAAAACTTCTAGAACTAGTAAATGAATTCAACAATATAATTGATTCAACACCCATAAATTAAAGGCATTTCTGTATATCAGTGACAAATCACTGATATACAGAATCAACACCCATAAATTAAAGGCATTTCTGTATATCAGTGACAAATCCTCTGAAAAGGAAACAAGGACAACTACCCCTTTTACAAGAGCATTTAAAAAAAACTTGGAAATCAACTTAATGAAGAAGGTGAAAGACCTCTACCATGAAACTACAGAATGCTAGAGAAAAAACATTAAAGAAGATCTTACAAGATGGAAAGATCTCCCTTGTTCTTGGATAGGCAGAATTAATATTGTCAAAATGACCAAACTATCAAAAGCACTATACAAATTTAATACAATTCCAATAATATTGCTCATAGAAATAGAAAAATCAGTCATTAAATTCATCTGGAAAAATAAGAGACCCAGAATAGCTAAAGCAACCCTTAGCAAGAAGAGTAAAGCAGGTGGCTTACTATACCAGAACTTAAACTACAGTACAGAGCAATAGTAACAAATAGTAACTGCATGGTATTAGCACCCAAACAGACTTGTAGACCAATGGTACAGAATAGAGGATACAGAGACTAACCCACATAATTATGGTTGTTGAGTGAATTTTTAAAAGAAAAAATGCTTCAGTTCTTCCTCAGTTCTCAGAAGAGGCCTATTTTTGGAAATTATAATCCAGGATGGTTTGAATAATCAAATGCTCTTTAGTAAATAATATCTCTCAATGCAACTGTAATAAATAAGCATCTACATCCTTAGCTATATTACCAGTATATCCTGGAACTAAAGTAAGATGGTTTTCTTGTTCCCACAAACCACTTACTTGTTATTTTAAAATTTTAAAATCTGAATATTTTCATCACTTTTAATTTGTTTTGGATGACCACCACCTTTTTATTACAGCTTAAGGCCAGTGTAAACCACTATCACATATTCTTTAAATTTGCTGTTAAGTAATGACTTTACAAGAGGCAACAAGTCTACTCAGCAGCCAAGTGAGATATTATTTTTATTCATGTGAATTATTAGTGAGTACAGGCAGGCAGTCTACCACAACTCTAAGATCTTTTGTTCTTACTAAATAAGCTACAAGTTCACTTATACTTCTCTTTGTCCAGAAAGTTAAAGCTACATTCAATCTCAAACTCCTGCTAAACAAAGCTTGGGCCATTGTTTCATGATCCAGAGAAACCTCAGGAAAAAAACCCAAAACACTGTATTTAGATGATGAGTTTTCCTGTCTGTGAAGAACCAGAATCACTGGAGTTAACCAAATATGTATGATCATCATGGCATAATTTTGCAGGCAGGTAGCCTGCACAAGCCAGTTCATTTTCTTTATTTGCCATGTAGCAGTTCCCATTTATCTAGAGAGCTGTTCTTTTACTATAACAAGGATTTGGGGAAGGATGTTGCATTCAACTGTTGTATTTATAAAAGCAGCCAACTGTTTTAGAGATTTCTTAACATGCTTCATGTTTTTATTAGTGAAATTAGAGATCTTTTTTCTAGGAAGATCTTTCTTCAATGGAATGATCCTCAATATTATTACAAAAAGTTTCATTTTTTAACATTGTGTGCTTCAGATGTCATAATCTCTTAAATTCTGGCACCTCACACCAGCACTGGTGCTGGCAAACCACCCACTGGACAGCCTAGAGCATCCGTTGGCTGCAGGGCCAGGCCCCACTGAGAGCCATTCAAACCTCCCATTCTTTTTGTTTTCTTATGTCAAGGTATGTTTGATGGCCCTGTTGTCCATCTTGAGAAATGTTTCCTGTGACCTTGAGAAGAACTTATATTGTCTAATTGTTGAAGTGGCAATTGTACAAGTACCAATTAGGTCTGGTTGATTGATAGTGCTTTTCGAAGTTTTTTTAAAAAAATACTTTTCAATTGTAGATGGACATAATGCTTTTATTTTATTTATTTATTTTTATGTGGTTCTGAGAATCCAACCCAGTGTTTCACACCTGCTAGGCAAGTGCTCTGCCACTGAGCTACAGCCCCAGCCCCTTTTCTATGACAAGGTACCAAACTCTTTGGCTTAAAATAACTGATTTTATATATAAAATCAGTTTTTTTAAAGAAATATACTGTTTCACAGTTCTCCATAATCAGAGTGTAGACATGTATCAAATCTATAGGGCAGATTTTTCCTTGTTTTTTTTTTTTTCCTCCCCTCTACCTTTGGCCACTTTGCTGGCTTTCCAGGTTTGCAACTTCAACACTTTACTCTGCCTCCACCAGTGCCTGGCATTCCCTTTTCATGGATTTGTTTCCTTTCCTTATAAAAGCATCAGCCAAATGGATAATGACCTCATCTTAACTGATTTCATCTGTAATGACTGTAATTCCAAAAAAGGTCATGTTGTGAGACTTTTTTTTTATTCTCAGGGACATAATTTGACCCATAACAGAGTTGTTCAGTACAATGATGACCTTGTTTATGCTATTCCTGCTGGATCCTTTAGGTACTGATAAAGGGGTGTTTAACTCTTCCACTATAATACTGTATTAACTTTTCATTGTGATTCCATCCATTTTGGTCTCAAGAATTTTGATGATTTGTTGTTAGGTGCATACAAAAAAAAACTCTCTTGACTTCTTTGAGAATCAATCCCTCTATCATTAGGTAATGCGTCTATTTTCCCTAATCATTTTCTTGTCCTGAGGACTGTTTTAAGTTCAATATTAAGTCTTTTAAATTCACGAGCACACATGCTTTAACATTTATTTAGTTAGTCTTTAGTTTCTTTCAGTAACAATTTCTGGTTTTAAGTGTACCAAACTTCTCTGTTTAAATTTATTGCTATGTGTATTTTTTAGATGTGTTTATAAATGGAATTACTTTTTAAAATCTCTTTTTTGTGTTGGTAATTACTGGTGCATGCAGACAAAATGTTTCTTTTGATCTTCTGACTTGCAACTTTGCAGGATTTGTTCATCAATGGGGAACTTTCTTGTGCAGTCTTTGAGATTTTTAATGTGTGGGATCATGTCCTCTGGGAGAAGAGATATCTAATTTCTTCAATGGAATGATCCTCAATATTATTACAAAAGTTTCAAACCTGATACCTTTAATATTTTTCTCATCTAATTGCTGTAACTAGAATTTCAAGTCCAGTGATAAATAGCCATAGTAAAAGTAGACATCTTTGACCTGTTGCTGATTTTGTGGAAGGTTTTTAGCCTTTTAAAAAATATATGTTTTTTTTAGTTGCAGATGGATACAATACATTTCTAATTTTTTGGGATATTGATGGACCTTTATTTTATTCATTTATTTATATGTGGTGCTGATAATCAAACCCAGTGCCTTACACATGCTAGGCCAGTGCTCTACCAATGAACCCCAGCCCTAGCCCTATAATACTTTTATTTATTTATTTTTATGTGGTGCTGAGGATCTAACCCATATGCCTTATATATATGCAAGGCAAGTGCTCTACCAATGAGCTTCAACCCAAGTCCAGTTTTCAGCTTTTAATATTGCCAAAATAAACACTTGCCAATGATTAAAATCATTAATATTACATATATTTCACCACAAAGTCTAGAAGTGATACAGAATACATGATAAATGCATTAGCAGCAGGTGGTGGATTTGTTAAGGTCAAATAATTTGGTAAAATTTAAAGTGGAAATCAGGGGAGATGTCTGGGCTTCAAGATGGGGATGAAAGAGTGAAAAGCCACTGATATTCAATCATATAGTGCATTTTATTATGAATCCATTTGTAAATGGACTGTTTCAGGTGTATTTGGTTAGACTTAGCTAGAAAGCCAAGGTTTTGTTATTTCCCCTTTCTACTCCTTTTAAAAAATTTGGTTTGATTCTTTTTAGTTATACATTAGGATTGGAAATTAATTTGCTCTAATTCAGTCCCCAGTATTTCCCCTCTCCCTTCCTCTCTACTCTACTTATCTTTCTCCTATTTACTTTTTGTTCCTATATCCAATGAGGAGTACATTCCAGCAGAAACTCAGTCTGTATTTTCAATCACTTATCTGTCTATGCCAAAAAAGATCCCCAAATCATTCTTTAGCAACTCCTGTGTACTGAAAATTATCTGAATTCTCCTAGATTCCCCAGTGGAGCTGATGTAAGAGCTCACAAGTATCAAGGCAGAGGGTAAAGTTCTATCTATCAGCAACGAAATGATGTCTTTCTTTGTTTGACATCTTACATGCTCCCCCGCCCCCTTTGCTTTCTTTTTTAATCAGCTTCAGACATGAACATCTGACTAAGTACTTTATAGATAACTACACAATTACCTTTGCCAAGGAATGTCAACTACAAGTCTCTTGCCAATGGATACCTGACTCCAGATTGTATTCATGTATGAAAGCATCAGTTAAAAATTGGAGGATAGTGAGAATTTCTCTTTATAATACATTTTCTGGTTATTAAGGAATTTTATATGTATCAACCAAAATGGACTTGAGAAATCTTCCATATAAAGACGATGGCCTTGGTGCATATGCCCTCTAGGCTTTACTTTTTTGACCATTTCCTGGATCTCTGTTTCCCATCTAGTTTTCCCATGTCATCATGGTAAACAAAGTCCTGTGCAAGCAGGATGTGGCATGATGTGATGCTCAAAGTGTCTTTTTTTCTTTAATTGTAGGTGGACTCAGGAGCAAATGAAAACTGTATGTATTCTCAATTCACTTACTTGCTGAGGGAAAATTGAAGTGCTGAAAAAGTTTCAACTTTCTTGCCTGTTTCTGTCTACAAAGCCATCCTGATTCCAGATTCCTACTGGAAAAGAGGACTGGGGGTTTGGTGAAAGAAACTGATAGTCCAGTGAAGACTGATGACCATCTATTACAGTCCTCAGGTGGAGCTCTATCATTTTTGTGGTTTTTGGCATGACCAATAGGAGGTATTAACCAGTGAGTCTGTGTATAGTGGGTGAGAATGTGTTCACTAGTGTGCATTTCCCCAGAAGATATGCTCCCACATTCACAGCACAACACAAATGGCAATTTTCTAATAAAAATCCCACATCCCTGCACACTTAATATAAATCAATTTATTCAGCCATCTCCATAGCAGAATCTGAAAGTTAGTTTAATGTCACCAATTCTTAGATGGACATGATTTAGGGATGAGTGATCAGATTCTTGACCCTGTAAATAGAACAGGCACATGTGAACCCAGGCACTGGTCCCAGTGGTGATACTCTGGGCTACAAAATTGTATTAATAATTCAGCTATGGAATAACTTAAGTCACCAGGCTAGGGAGTTCAGCACATCTGTATGGCTCTGGAAGGATTATATTTACAGAGGTCCCAAACATTGTCAATCATTATGTGATCCCTGTAGTCAAGTAAACTAGAGTGCATTAGGTACATTTAACATCAGACTTTGGTACTGACAATAATGCAAAGGACACATAGCCCACAGGGTTTTGGTAAGTTCACATATTTTGACAGGTGTGAGACACCTAGTAGGATAGTCAAGGTTCACAGCTGCTAGTGCTGGGGTTCCTTGCTGTCTGTGAACAAGAATCAAGAAGTTATTCTGTAGTTATTTAATAATGTGACTACCATTAGCTTTAGAAATGCTCAACTGCATTAGCACACAAAATCAAGGGACAGTGAGAAATAAGAACTCAAACTACAACTTAGATGTTAGCCTTGGTTTATCACCATTGTTGCAAATCTCTCTTCCAGCTGGGTTAGGGTGTCAGCACTCACCACTGCTGAACTCCATCATGAACTGACCCATTATCCCAGGACTAGTGTGAGTGTGAGCAGCTAGTGACACAGTGGATATGCATCTTGTGTAGAAAAGGCAGAAAGGGCCATGTATGGTGTATACACCTCTAATCCTATCTGCTCTGGAGATTGAAGCAGGATTGACCACAATTTTGAGGCCAGTCTGGGCAACCTAGTGATAACCACTTTCAAGAGCGCTAGGGGTGTAGCTTAGTGCTAGAGTGCTTGCCTAGCATGCAAAAGGCCTTGGGTTTGATCTCAAATATTGGAAAGAAAGGAAGGAAAAAGATTTAGGGAGGGATCAGTAGTGGTTATTTTTAAATGGTAAGATTTTAATGTTTTAAAATCTTTAGTGACAATTTATTTTTTATAAAAATTAGAAAGTAAATGTAGTAGAATATTTTGTCTATAACTGAATCCAGTCTGCCAAACAAGATTGCTATTAATAAAGTAAAAAACCTTTTAAAGAGACAATATGCATAGTAGCAGCATTTGTGCATCCAGGGGTAAAATGTGATCTTGGAAGATATCAAGAAGATTATGACCATTTAGCTCTGCATCTGAATGGGCAAGAAGAGGCCTGGGACTCAATTATTGAAACACAGCATGGACTTTAGTGTTTATTTCCTATTTAGACTATTTCACATCAATTAGTTTTATTTTGGCTTGAAAGCCAAAGGCTCTGTTTCTCATCTCTTTCCTGCTCCATTCCTTTGCCTTTCATGCTTGCCATGCATCCATATCAAGTAATGCCCCTCAATAATTCATGAGCAGAAACAACCAGATACTGACAATTACTCTTTATCCTCTTAGTTTCCTCTGAGGACTTGTTGGAATCACTTGCAAGTGACAGCAACGACAAGGAGAACCCACTGAATGTCCTGGTAAGGTCTCATTATCTTCCTTTGAAATGGAAACGTTGTCTTCTTGGTTTCTTTCTACTGAAAATCTGAAGATGCATAGTTTAGATGATATATACAGTTTCCTTGGTGAAGAGTCTATTGATACCAAATTCAAGACAATTTTTAAAAATCACATGATCATTTTAAAGTGTATAGTTGAAAGCATTTTCCTCAGCAACTCCCTGGAAAATAATTTTGTAATTTCCAACCACAAGAGACTTTAGATATACGTCACCCGGGAAGATGTGATGTCTTGGCGAAAGTAGGTTTGATCTGTCCTTGCCTTTGGGTTCCTCTGACTTGACCTGCTTTCCATCTGTTTTCCTAATGTCACAAAATGAAGAAGAGAATCAGGATGGACTGTCCACATTAGTGATCCTTTCTCTGTAATTGCAGGTGGATGCAAGAGGAACTGAAAATGGTATGCACTGTGGAATCACTCACTTGCTGATAAATTGTCTAGATGATGAGGAAGGTGGAACTGTCTTGCTGACTTTCATGTGGAGAGCCGCCCTGATTCCAACTGTCTGCCATGGATAAGGACTGGGGTATGGTGGTAGGAACTGATTTTCCAGTTGAACTGATGGCCATTCTTCATTTCCTCTGAAAGCAACTTGTTCCCTTTAGGTGGTATGAGGATATGTGTTCAGGGAAGCAGTGTGTCTGTGTATGCATTTGTGTGATATTATTCTGATTGTGTCTGTGTGTGGGTTTTTGTGTATTTTACTAAATATTTATTCCCTTAGTCGCCAGTGTGAATGTTCTCAATAAAAATGCTATCTTTATTGCAGCATGATTATAAATAGATATAAATTAATCAAATTATACATTCTATATGTGTGCAATTTACTGCATGTCAAGTATACCTCAATTAACATGGAAAATATCACATCAAAAACCAGGACAATGTTCCCAGGATATAAAGGGGACAAAGATGTGTTTCATAATCCCTGTTAATGAGCTAGTAGCAACTTCATTTTATAATGAATCACCTGTCAGCAGTCCTCTATACTTGTTATTGGCATTTGATTAGTCATAATTCTTTATTCTTGACAATTTTTTAATACATAACCCTTTTCTCAAAAAGACCTTAGAATTAATTTATCCAACCCAGTTTGAACATGGAGTGCTGGGAAGGGTATTTCCTTTGTAATGAAACCCTGGTACAGCCACAGTTCTAGTAGAAATCTAACAGAAAGAGCCTGAAGGCAGAGTTGGGGAAATTCACTCCAAATTTCTCCATGGAGGTCTAATAATTGATAATGTTACTAAGAGTAGCACATGCCTTTTGTATGTGAAAAATCTGTCTCCCCTCATTTACTCTGGTCATGGTTTTGTTGCACTGAACAGAAATACTATAAAATGTATGGTGAAAAAGAGGTTTGCTTGAGGTACTGAACATCAGGTTGAGCTTCCTTTCTAGAAGGACTGTAAGGGTCTGGCGAAATGTCGGAGTAGAGACCACAAGAGACTGTCTTATGCAACAGCAGAAGGGTGGGTTTATTTGGAGACCAGCATGCTAGGGCTCTCTCTATAGCAAAGAGAGATAGAGCCCTGAGAACCGCTTGAGCAGAGCTTATATACTTTTCTTGGAGAGGGCAGGGAGGGAAGTTCATTGATGGGTCAGGGTGAGTGGGCAGTTTGCCTGCAACCGCAGTTTGGCAGTTGGGGACAGCACATTCTGGGAACAAGATTAGCAAAGAGTTCACAGTTGGGGACAGCACATTCTGGGAACAAGATTAGCAAAGAGTTCACAGTTGGGGACAACACATCCTGGGAACAAGATTTCAACAGTGTTTTGTTAAGCATATAGAAAAACAGAGTGACAAGTACCTATTTTATTAACCTTTCATTCCCCACTTTTTCTTCTGGCTATTTTTAATCATAAAAGTGATCATTGCGGGGTGTCACATTCTGTGTCTGCTAATGGGGTATATTGTTGTCTGATTACCATAAGTTTGACTTGTCCAATTTGGGATTGGAGAAAGGAAACTACACGATTGAGCAAACAGGGTCCTAGAGTTAGCAACAATATAAGAATTATTAGAGGACTGGCCAGGGCTGATAAAAGCATAGTTAACCAGGGGGACTGTGTGAACCAAGATTTATACCACCCTTTCTGGGCCTCTCTCTCTCTCTGACGCTCTTCAAGGCGTCTTTTTAGTTTACTCATAGATTCTTTTACAACTCCAGTATGGTCGGCATAAAAACAACATTCTTCCCTCAATGCAGCACAAAGGCCCTCTTCTCTCATAAAGAGGAGGTCCAACCCTCGCCTGTTCTGTAAAACAACTTCAGAGAGAGAGGTTAAAGATTCCTGCAAAGCTGTGATGGAGGTTTCTAATATTTTTAAGTTTTGGTCCATTGCTGTTTCTAATTGGGTCATTTGTTGTGTCCTACGGACCAGGGCAGTGGTCCCTGTGCCCACCCCTGAAGCAATTCCCATTCCTAATAAGATGGCTAAAGTGAGGGATACAGGTTCCCGGCGGAACCAGGTTGTATGCCCCCCTGTTTGATCTTTAAATGAACCTGCGTCATGATAGAGCACTCTGGGAAACATCTGCACCATTACATAATTAATCACATCTGTTGACCATTTTATGAAAACATAAATAATGTTTAAGTATATAGAATTATACTGTTGTAGGGACGGATAAGGCAAGGCACCTAAGATAGCACTGAAGACAGGGAAACAGTTCTATTTGGTTGCAACCGGATTCAGAGGGCATTGCTTCTGTTGTAATCAATTAATCCCTTGAACCCCAAGTTTAGGTAGTTTTAGAATTTTGTACTCAGCATGTAAGGGAAGGGGCTCAGAAGTTTCCAGTCTGCAGAAGTTCACAAAAAGCAGTTTTTGTTTCTGTTATTTTTTTTCTCTGTTCTAGGCAAGTTAGCTTTTCAAGGACACCTGGGAGGGGGAGAATTTTTTTTTCCTTGCCAGCTGTTACCATGGAGCCCAGTTGATAACTTTTTTATCTTAGAAATGTAGCCATCTCTGTGAAGCCTCAACTCAAGGCCAGAGGCCCTGTTCACATATTTTGTGAAAAACTAGTAAGGGGGTGTCTAGCTTAGGAGTGCTGATTTTTCCAGCCAGTGGCCAAGTAAAACAGGGCAACATGAAAAGAGGAAGTTTATCTATACTGAACTCTTTTATAGGGACTCTTTTGCTGAAAGTCCTAAAGTCAGCCATGGTGAGGACTTCTGGAGAAGGTCAGTTAAGACTTTTCTGTGAGCCTGGTACAGAGGGGGAGGACAGGGAAGGCGGTGCTGAGAGCAGCTCCGTGGATCTGAGAATGAGGAAGGAGAGATGTAAAAGAATAATGGGAAAGAGGTTTGGGATTTTCCTAGCAACAAAAACTTGAGTAGTAGAACAGATAGAGCAGAGGGGAAGACTGGAGTGAGTATCCCAAAAAGCCTGTGAGGGACTTTAAATTTTTAGTAACCTGTTTTCAGTGATGACAAAGCAACTTTAAAGGCCATTTTCATTACATCTTGGATAGGGGTCTGAGGGCTCTCCTCAGCTGGTTTGAGCTTTGGGTTAGTTGGTAAGAGGACTTGGTGGGACCCAGCGTGGGCACTGAGAGGAAAAGAGAGGAGTGAATGGGTGGAGAGATACCTCAGTACCTGTTACTTCAGCAAGGGGGCAATGTTCTGAGAACTGGCGGAGGTTTGGGTTCCATCAGGTAGCCCCTGTATGTTTACATCCTTATGACTTACAGAAGAAGTCGGTTTTTCCCCCACACAGCCGTGACTGTTTGTGGCTTTGATAGTCTGCCAAGCAAACATAGTAATCTAGGTTAGCCAGCCTGCATCTGGCTCTCGTGTCCCTACATCCATAATGTTTGTTTCTATTATCTATGTTACGGAAGGGATTTAATGGAATTTTAGTGGGATCTTCCTCATCAGGGATACCCAATAGAAAAGACCTATAGCCAACTGACAAATGTTTGGGTGGAGAGATGGCCACCAGGTCCCTAAGGGCGCTGTATGCGAGATAGACGATACTTCCTGTCCAGTAGGATTTATGATCAGCCATTGCTGCTGAACGGGCTGATGAGGGTTAGGACTACTGGTGGTCAAGGGGAGAATCTATAGCCCTATCCACATGGTGAATACACAATTTGAGAGGGTTACCAGTCTTTTCCAATTCTCAGCCAGAGTCTGGACAGGGCGCAGGCTTGAGATGAGAGGCATGGATCCAGGAAGTGATTCCGTCTACCTTTACCGCTGTAGGTGTTATAAGTAGCACCTGGTATGGTCATTTCCAGCGGGGTTCCAGGGATGACACCTGATGTCATCTTACATAGATGAAGTCTCCCACTTGATATCGGTGTGGAGTCCCTTCTTCCCCAGGTTGGTAGGCAGTGGCCAGCTGTTTCCACAGGTATCGCTGGGTTCTTTCAAGAGCTTTAAGTCTGTCAAGCAAGGGGGTATGAAAGGAATCGTTAGGTCTTAGAGTTGGGGTCAGGTCCCTTACTGGAGGAGGGGCACCATAGAGAATTTCATAGGGGGTGAGGTTACACAAAGAAACAGAGGGAGTATTTCTTGTATGAAACAGTGCATAAGGCAGGAGCATAGTCCAATCTTTTATGCCGGTCTCCAAGCTTAATTTTGTCAAGGTCTCTTTAATGGTTCCATTCATTCTTTCTACCTATCCTGAGCTCTGGGGTCTATAAGTGCAATGTAACCTCCAATTAATCCCCAGGGTCCTGGCTAACCCCTGACTTACCTGGGCCAAGAACGGCAGTCCATTATCAGACCCTATTACCTTAAGCAGGCCATATCTTGGAAAAATATCTTCCAGGATCTTCTTGACCACCATTTTTGCCGTTTCTTTTCTTTGTGGGGAAGGCTTCAATCCATCCTGAAAATGTATCTACAAAGATTAGGAGATATTTAAGTCCATACTTTGCTGGCTTAATTTCAGTAAAGTCCACTTCTCAAAATTGTCCTGGTCTGGTCCCTCAAAGGCGCCTTCCTACAGGGAGCTTGGAAGGGTAAGCATTAACCAATCGATAGACCCGACAGGCTTTTGTTACCCGTTCAGCTATTTCCTTTTGCTTTGAGCCGGTTAGTGGAAAACTCTGTTCTTGATCCTTTAGGAATGCTTGCAATTTTTTGAACCAAGGTGAGTGAGTTGATGTACATTTTTAATGTAGTGTAGGGCTTTCTGAAATTGCAGGCTGGGCTCAGTAAAGTCAATGAGTTCAGTGTCAGTGTTCTTATGTTCCCCCAGTGTGGAGTGTTAACAGGGTTACTCCATTTAGGGCTGCCAATTTAGCCTCTTCATTTGCCCTCTTGTTAGATGGGGGTGATATCTGCACAACAGTTTGTTTTCTGGGCTCTGTGAGCCATCGTTTACTGCCCCTAAGGGAATAGTCCAGGAAGATTATTTCTTGCTGGCAAATTTGGGCCTTTTTGGCAGAAGCTCTATACCCGAGTAGAGCAAGCTCAGATAATAGTGCTTGGGTCCCAGACTCACAGTTTTACTTGGTATCGGCTGCCAGTAGAGGTTATCCACATATTGAAGCAGGGTGACTTCAGGGTGCGTAGTTCTGAAGTTGTTGAGATCTCTGTGGAGAGCTTCATCAAAGAGAGTGGGGGAGTTTTTGAACCCCTGTGGGAGTCTGGTCCAAGTTAGTTGACCAGATGTTCCGGTTTCTGGGTCTACCCACTCAAAAGCAAACAGCAACTATCTTTATGCAGAGGCAAGCAAAAGAAAGCATCTTTTAAGTCTAGGACAGTATACCATTTTTGCTCAGGGTGCAGGGTGCTAAGCAGATTGTACGGGTTAGGTACTTTGGGGTGAATGTCCTACACTCTGTTGTTGGTCTCTCTTAGGTCTTGAATGGGGCGATAGTCCCCAGTTTCTGGCTTTTTTACTGGTAGCAGGGGAGTGTTCCAGGCCGATTGACAGGGCCTTAGGACCCCCAAGGCCAGATATTTCTGAATATGGGGCCTTATCTCATCTTTAGCTTCTTTGTTCAGAGGATATTTTTTTAATATTAATTGGGGAGGGAGGTTTTTAACCCCACCATTATTGGAGGTTGTTTTACAGTTAGGCCTAATTCAGCAGTTTCTGCCCAGGCATCTGGGTAATCTGTTATCCATTTCTGGGATAGCTTGCCTGTTTGATCAGTCTTGGGGGGGTGTGAAGAGTTGATGTTCATCTTCTACTGACATAGTTAAAGCCATGACTATAGGAGTTTTTACTGAAGGATTTAGAAATTCCATTTGGGGGATTTCAGGGTTAAAAGTTATTTAAGAGTTTTAAGAGTTTGATGAACAGATTTCTGTTCATCAGTGGGGCTGGGCATTCTGGGATCACTAGGAAGGAGGAAGGAGTGATGGATTTTTCCTTTTCCCAGGTCCATGGTCCTTTCAGTTGTCCAAGCCCAATATTTACTGCCATTAGCCCCTTGAACTTGAGACCTTTTAGTTGATAGAGGGCCCAATGGGGCCTTAAGGGCTGAGTATACTGCCCCTGTATCCATTTCAAAGTTTACTGGGGTTCCCTCCACTTCAAAAGTTACCCTGATCTCGGGGAGGGGATCCGAGCTCCGACTTTCCTAGTCATCCTCCAGATTTAGAATGGCTGGCTAGCATGGCTATTTCTTTCTAGGGCACTCTTTGGCCCAGTGTCTTTTTTCTCTACAGTAGGCACATTGATCTGAGGCCAGATGTGGCTTCTGGCGTGGACCCAGGTATCCCTTTCTGTCTCCCTGTCTCTTAACTTCTGGCCTATTTGTTGTTATGACCAGGACCTTAGTCAATGCCTCAGTCTGTCTTTTGCTTCTTTCATCCTCCCTTTGCTTCCTTCTCTTCCTTAGTTTCTCTCTTATAGTATACCTTCTCAGCTTCTCTGACTAAATCTCTCAAAGTCATATCTTGTAATCCATCTAAGCATTGTAACTTTTTTTTTTATATCCAGGGCAGCTTGCCCAAAAAAGGCCATCATGACAGATGCCTTTTGATCTCCTACCTGAGGATGGAATGGAGTATATCTCCTATATGTCTCCATAATTCTCTCTAGAAACATAGATGGAAATTTATCAGGCCCTTGAATAATCTCTCTTACCTTGGCCAAATTAGTTGGCCGTCTAGTGGCTGCTCGGAGACCCGCTATTAGAGCCCGGCAATAAGTGGACAGATGCTCCCTACCTTCAAAGGTGTTGGGGTCCCAGTTGGGTCAGTTCAAGGGGAAGTCGGCTTCGATTATGTTGGGAAGTTGTGTCGGTCACCCATCTGGTCCAAGGATATTTTTTTCTTGCTTCCAGGAGGATTCTCTCTTCTTCCTCTGTCATGAAGATAGTGCCTAGGAGTTGTTGGCAGTCATCCCAAGTAGGTTGTTGTGAAAACATCAATGACTCAATCAGACCTGTGAGCCGGGTGGGGTCCTCGGAAAAAGGGGGATTGTTGTTTTTCCAGTTATATAGATCTGAAGAGGAGAAAGGCCAATACTGGTAGGCTTGCATTTCTCCACCATGACCATCCTCTATCATTGGCCCATAAGGATGGAGGGGAAGTATCATGGGGGCTTCAGGGTTTTTAATCATTCACTGCCGGCGAGTTCCTTTAGCCGGGCCAGCTTCCTCCAAGGGAGGAGGGGCTGTGTGTGCCGTGGGGGAGTCATCTGGAGGGCACTGGGCCGGCTTAGCCTCCTCCAGTGGTGGAGAAGCTGAGTCAGCAGCAGGGGAATCACTTACAGTGTGTTGGGTGTTGGGGAATGAAGGCAGGGGATAAGGAAAGGGAGGAGAGTCCAGCAGAGTCAAATCTTGAGACTCAGGGAGAACAAAGGGTGGAGAAGGAGCAGAGGGTTTGAGAGATAGAATCGTGGGAGGAGGAGTAGGAGCGGGGATAAGAAAAGGCTTCACCCATGGAGAAGGAGATTCACAGAGGTCCTGCCAAGTTAAGATATACAGCTGTTGATCTGGATGGCTATGTGGTCCCGGCTGAAAGACAAAGACAATATCTCTGACTTTTCAAATTAGTGGGGAGTAGAAAGATCCTTCTGGAGGCCATCCAATTCCAAAGGTGGGCCATTCTGAGGCACAGAGAGTCTGCCAGGTCCAGCGTTTTACTGAAAAAGAAAGATTCTGAGCCCTTAAGTGGACTTCAGTCCAGTGATCAAGGGTCAGGGACAGATTTGTGGAATGACTCTGTCCCATAATGAAAGTTACTTGAACAAAGACAGGGACAATACAAATGTGACACAAACACAGACACACAGTAAACAGTAAACGTGTACCACAAGTTCAGAGGCAAAGATTAAAAACAGACAGTGAATTCAACCTGAGAGAAAGAATTGCCAGCAAGACCAGATGGGTTGGCAGCAGAATACAGATGAGGGCACCTCCGTCCCTCCCAGATGGGGGCACCTCCGTTCCCCCCAGAGTCTCTCAAAGCGTCCCTTGAGAGATGTGGTCTGTGGCTTCAGGGACACGTCTGTCCACCACTGTCAGGGGGAGCTTACGCTCTCCGCTAGCAACCACACTATGCCAACCCAAACCGAAAAACCAGAAGCTCTGAGAGCTTTCGCTCTTCTCTGAGCCAAAAACCAGAAGCTGTGCGATTGCAAAGGAAAAACAAGGAGGAGAAGAAGGAGGAGGAGAAGAAGAAGAAGATAAGGCGCCTTACTTACCCCCCTAAAGGAGTCTTGTTGAGGTCTCCCAGTCCGGCGATGTGCACTTCCCAGCCAACGCACCAAAAGTAAGGGTCCAGCGAAACGTCAGAGTAAGAGACCACAAGAGACTGTCTTATGCAACAGCAGAAGGGTGGGTTTATTTGGAGACCAGCATGCTAGGGCCCAGAGCTCTCTATAGCAAAGAGAGATAGAGCCCAGAGAACAACTTGAGCAGAGCTTATATACTTTTCTTGGAGAGGGCAGGGAGGGAAGTTCATTGATGGGTCAGGGTGAGTGGGCAGTTTGCCTGCAACCGAGTGAGGGAGTGCATCCTGCAGTTTGGCAGTTGGGGACAGCACATTCTGGGAACAAGATTAGCAAAGAGTTCACAGTTGGGGACAACACATCCTGGGAACAAGATTTCAACAGTGTTTTGTTAAGCATATAGAAAAACAGAGTGACAAGTACCTATTTTATTAACCTTTCAGGACTAAGGGGAAGTCATTCACTGCAAGGTGGAGAGAGATAAATGCAGCCAAGGAAAAGAATCTCCATCATATCTCCTTGGTTGTTTCTGAGATCTTTACAATGAAACAAGGTCAACATAGTTCTAAGTCTAAGTGAATATAAAATAAGCCAAGCAATGATTTGAGTTTACTTTGGCAACATTTTTTTTTGTGGAAAATATTGAATTTTAATAAAATTTGATCACCCTATAGGTGTGAATATTTTCCCCATAAAAATAAGATGACGGTAATTTTGTCTCAAAATTGTTTCCCCTTAAAAACAAGATGAGGTTAATTTTGTCTCAAGTCCATGGTTTCTGAGGGTAACTAAGTGAAATTTGTAAATAAAATAATTAGAGTCTGAGGGTAACAAGTGAAATTTGTAAATATTAGAAATTTGTAAATATATAAGACTCTAATATTTACAAATTTCTATTTTATTTACAAATTTCACTTAGTTACCCTCAGAAACCATGGACTTGAGACAAAATTATCCTAGAAATCTTGAATTTCTAGGTGATAGCTCACTAATAATTCTGCTGTGTGTGATTAGAGATAAAAACCAGTGTTACCACCCCTTGGGCTCCATGAATTTATGGAGAGCTGTCCAGTGGATTCCATGAGAGAGAGAAGAAGGGCAGAGCATAGTATAGACCTTATGAAGGACAACAGTTACCTGGCTGGAGGAAGACATAAAGGAATCCATCTCCTGGGATGAAGGTGAATGCCAAGGTTGCAGATCTACAGAATCAGGTTAACATCATTATCTGAGCAAGTCATACAATTATGAGCAAGATGTGACTCTTATAGGTGACATAAGCATTGCACAATTGTCTCTTAAAAGCCAGGAGAGAGAAGCCTTCTTCATGTGCATGTCTTTTCTATCTCCCTGTGTGATAGTAATGATTATAATGATGACAGTTATACCCACAGAAAATAGTGAGAGTTAGAGAAAAGGAGTCAGGTGCCCACATCTCTGGTCTAAACTGGCAGGAATTAAGTTTATAGTGATGGACTTCAGGGTTGGTCCTAAGACTGAAATTCCATATGCTGGGACAGAAGTCCACCTTTTATTGCTTCTCAAAGTTTTCAGACAATCAGTTCTCATGGAGAGAGTGCTGGCTAAGGATTGTCTGGCCTAAAAACGTATTTAAACTGTGTTTGGTCAGTGCAGTTGTAGCACATTCTAATGGCAGTGTGGGGTTGAATACATGGGCTCTACTACAAGGTGAGCTCAGGTCAGCGATATGGGCTCATCTCACTCTCCAGGTGGTCCTTGCCTGCTCCCTTGAATGGTTCAGAGGACATCAATTTGAAAGTGTCTCTGACATATCCTAGAATTGACAGCCTTAAATTATGTCTATGTCCTTCATTCATGGGTAGAGGGGTCTTGGCCCTGGGCAGTCACTACATGGGCAGGACCCATATACTTTTTATTCCTCCTCATTCCTGAGCTTAGTCCTGGTCAGCTTGTCTTAGTTCCAGGAGTATCTGATTAAAATACCCCGGGCTTGGATCTTCCTCAGGTGTGGAAAAGTCCCCTCTTTAATTCTTCTGTCCTTTTGTGCCCCACCCCAAGACAGGTGGATGTTCAGGCTCTGACCCAGGCTCAGGAGGATAAAGGTAGGCTCCTGAAGACAACATTGTTTCCCCTGCCTCTCAGCTCTCACTGGGCTCATCACTTCCTGATAGGTTTTCCTGGGCACTATTGGGAATCCACATGGGCCTGGACTTTAGCCTCATTGTTTTAGCATATCCAGGAACTCATAAAATGCTGGCTCTTGTGCATGTTCTTGGAGTGCATTTGTTAGTGAATAATTGGATCAGGTTAGCAAACTACTCTGAAAGGGAAAGCCAAGGGAAGGGAGGTTATGTCTTCCCCATCTTTGGACTTTAGGTTATTGCCATTCAATGTGTAAGTCCTCCATGGTTGCTACCTATATTTAATTTAATTTAAATAAATGAAATCAAACATTTGGAACCTCAAGAGAATATTCCAACCTCTTGTAGGCAGTTGCTTTCTGAGCCTTGCCTGGGGTCTGTCCATTGAACTCATAAATCTCAATGCATCTGAAGCAAAGTTGAAAATTCAGGTTTGTATGTTTGGAAGTTAGAATCATAATGGGTTAGTGGAAGTGAGAAGTTGAAAGATAATTTATTCAGCTCCTCTATTTCCCTTGAAGGTTTGCAACTGATTGCAATGTCTTGATGAAGGCCTCCAAGTCTGTAGAGCCCAGAGCGCAACTTACCACCCAGAGGAAAGAGCTATGAGATTTATGTGAGCCTGCATATCTTCAACTGGTATAGGGAGCACCAAGTTCAAATAACTCATTGTTTATATTTGTGTTTCTAAAGATTTACTTGTAGAGAATATCAGTGACTCCATAGTGAAAAGGAAGACTCTCCAGGTATGCAACAATACTACAGGTCCGACCCAATCAGAGCCAGTATTTGGGAACAATTGGTTTACACCTGTTGCTTTGAAGCCAGGGGAAGGGAGCATGAAATCACAAACAATGAAAAAACAAAAAGGAAAAAGAAAGAAAAAATATATTTATTTTACCATTTAATGACATAGTAGTAAGAAACTTTGTGTTCATGGGTTTTGTTACACAGCATTGTGTTTGTGACTACATTTATTGTCCTCATGTCCCAGGAAATGGATACCCATTCCATAGCTTCTCCTACTCCTGTCAGGCCAAACCTCCCATAGCTGCTTTAACTAGGAGAGGCTGTAAGAACTGGTAGATCCAACATGTGCATGAATTCTGAGGGTGCTACTCATTGTGTCATTTGTGAAATGCCATCAATGTTGTACAACCTCTCATTCTCTGGTAACCAGCTGTGCCTGCCCAGCCCACTAAAGCCAACAGGAAGTATGGCCAGTGAGTCATTAGGTATGGGGAGACATTGGAAAGCTGTCCTGACCTTGTGTGGTTCAAGCCTCCTAGAAGAATGTGGGGTGGAGAGTGGCTCCTGCTCTTGCAGGAAGGACAGCCCTCTTGGTTCAGCTTTGAGTGCTATAGGCACTTAGCAAGTCGTGCTATCTGGGAACACCACAGGACCCAAGAACAGGTGGGATTTCATCATGCCTCTGGGGACCTCATCTTCTGTGGAGACTTGTGGGGGCCTGGGTTCACCTCATGGTACTATTTCTCTGAGGTTTGAAGGGTTTTGTATTTAGAGATGAATGGTATAAATTTTTGTACATTTGTCAAATTTGAACAAAGCAAGCACCTGAAGCAATGCAATGCATTGCTCATATGAGTGAGTTAAAAGAGCCAGATCATAAGTTGTTTACCTTGATTTTATGTATTTTCTGATTTTATAATTTAATAAAAAATATAATAAATTTTATCACTCTTTAAAAAAGTATTGTCCTCAGTAACCATTTTCCCACTGGAACATTTTGAAATAATGAGATATATATTAAACCACAGCAAAGGATATTAAAAAAAACAAGTTTGATAAGGGTGTAAATAAGAAGTTTTACAGTGTTAGGGGAAAATAATAAAGAATTCCAGGAATTAATAAAGAATTCCATGTGGGTCACGTGATGTATCCTGGGATTTCATGGATGTAGGGACACAGTCTCGCCTCCCCCCGAGTTATCAGATCTCCTGCTCCTCAGGTGGCCAGGTGTGTGGGTCTAGGTCTTTCCATTCCAGGGTCATAGAAACCACTCTTTCCTCTGCCTCAAGTTCACTGTCCATGGGAGCAGCCCCTGAAGGCTGTATACACAGGTGTATGCACAGGAGATTTTGCTCCTGGAGGACAGTTGTAGACATTGGGCCCACAGTCAATACCCTCAGCAGAGGACAGCAAACAGGTCTCAGTGCTCCCTGACCTGAACCCCTGGGAAGGTCAGATCCCAGGGTCACTTTTCAGGGCCTGAGGAGCGTTCTATTCCTATACTACTCCCCCGCAGTGAGACCCTACTTTTTCTCTGTGTCTCCCCAGTGACCTTGTACCTGTTTCTGTTTTGCAGAGTCCTGTATGGACACCTGGCGGCTGGGAGGATCTGGAGCTTCCTGAGTAATGGGAAGCACGAATGAAGCATTAAGGTCAATGTACAGGAGCAACTTCCTGCTTGTTCTTTCCATAGTTTAAATTAGATGCAGTTTATTTTATCTTGTATAGTCTAAATATTAATTTTGAAAATGAGTGCAATATTTAATATTGATGTTTTTATATTAAATAACAGATACTTGCTACCAATTGATTTTAAAGATTTTTCCATTAAAAAAAATGTATCATAGAAAAACACCTCTGTATAAGCAGTGTTTTACCTTTTGCAAATCATCAATCATGCTTGGCCACAGTGCTACCAAACTGCTTGAACACGGGCACTAGTGGAATAGGTTCCATGTTCCTTAAAATATCATTTTCTTCATTTTTCTCAAATGCCTGACTCATGTTTTTTTATTTTTTTTTGCATTCACTCCTACAGGAAAGCATCCATATTAAACACCAGTAAAAGTTTACATAATCACATTACTCCATTTTGGCAAAATTTGTCTTCCCAACTCGCTGCCACCCACAACCATATTGGGGTCTTCATTGCTTTAGAATTCTACCTCAGTGTCTCTTTTCTGAGATACTCCTGGTCCCAGGACTGTCCTAGTTTTAGCACTGAAAGATCCATATCCTGGAGAAACCTCTTGGTCCAGGGCAAACAGGAACATTCTCCTGCTGTACCATGAAGCACAGAGTTGGGAGTTGGGTAGGTTCTTTGTCTTGCAATCAAAGAATGAAATTGACAGACAGCAATGGGTAAAAGCAAAGTTTAAGAATTTATTAAAGCAAAGCAAAGCAAAGCAAATCTCACCTAGAAGGGGAACCAAGAGGGTTGCCAGTGATTGGCTATTGTCTAGGGGTTTATATGGATTTATATGTTTAAGGAAGTCAGCCCCCAGCCCAATCTTGAGTAAGGAACTAAGTATCCAGGAGGCATTCATAAAGAATTTAGTCCAATCAAAACATAGATCAGGCATTTTTCTTTCTTTGGAGAGGCTGTGAACTTCAGGTCAGTATGTCCTGATTTAAAAATAACCTTTTTTGCAAGTTTTTCAGCAAAACGCTGCTGTGGAGCTGGGCATGGTGGCACACATATGTAATCCCAGTGGCTTGGGAGGCTGAGCCAGGAGGATGAGAGTTTGAGGCTAGCTTCAGCAATTTAGCAAGGCCCTAAGCAATTTATTAAGAACCTGTCTCAAAATAAAAGAATAAAAGGGGCACAATACATGGGATGTGACTCAGTGGTAAAGCACCTCTGGTTTCAATTTTTAGTACTGGGGGGAAAAAAATCTACAGCTTCTGGTAGTGCTCTGCTGCCCTGAAGTTGCCTAGGGACCCATTTCCTATCTGGCTAGTCTTCTCTCTCCCACCTGATTCACTGGTAACAACTGTCACAAGCCAGGTCTCCTGTGAACAGGGACTAAGGCCAAGATGAGCACATAGAGGTTTATCATGGAGTGCTTTTGGCATCAACCCCAGTGCAAGGGAAGAGAAGGTACAGGATTAGGGGAAAAGGTAATGTGGTATGACACTTCTGGCTCTCCCTGGGAAGTCACCAAGTTAGATGTGGATGTGTATGGGCCTGAGCAAAGGATAAAGCGGAAAGAGAGAGTAGGGATGGAGCTAGAGATTGACCCCTGTGTAGAGAGCAGGGACAAAAATGGGGTTTGGGAAGCAAGAGTCTCAGAAGGCAGAGCGGCACTGAAAATAATCCTGGCCTCCACAGAGAACTGTGGAGCAAAGGTGTCATTAAAGGGCTCCCAAAGAGTTCATGATGACCTCAAGAACCATGACAAGCTCAGTTTCTTCCCAGGACACAGCTGGAAAGCGGAGGCAGATCCTTAGGACACCCACACCTCAGGCAGGGAGGTCTGAAGGGCTCATCCTGCTACAGCTCCACCCCTCCTGTTGCACTGTGGCTCCATCTCAGCCAATGTGGGAACCACATCCACCCTTCAATCCTAAAGGAGGATCTGGGCCCAAGAGCATAGCATCCATATCATTGACTCTTCAACAAGTGGGAAATTCACTTCCCTCAGCCAAAGTGCTGGGAATGAAAAGCCCTAGGGAAGATGAAACATAAAAAGCATTTCCAACATAATATATGATACATTTGAAAACTTTGAGCATGTGAGCCTCTGGTCCACTGGGGAAAGCCCTCAGGAATTGGGAGGAATGGATTTCAATTATGTGCCTTTCCTTCTGGGCACCTTTCAAATTCTGCATATCATCAGAGGATAAAAACAACAATAAAATACCTGTGAGTCAAAAAGAAGGATAAAAGTTGATCCACCAATTACCCTCACCTGATTATTACATATTGTAACATGTATTGAAAAATCACACTGTACTCCATTATTATATGTCAGTAAAACACAAAATCTCTCATTGCAAATCTTGTGTCTTATACTTAAAATTATTAAGGAATGGGAGCAAAGAAATATCTCCAATTAAAGAAAGAAACTCTAAGCTTAAACAAATGCTTGAATAAATATTTTTGTGAGAACAACAACAAAAATTAAAAAATCTGTGTGTAAACAATCATGTCAGACACCCACCAGATGGATGATATGCACTGGACTGGGGACTAGGCCTCATCACCTGGGGTATAATGAGAGAATAATTTCCCTTAAAAAGCTAGAAGGCACTGGCTGCTTCCTATAAGAAGATTCCAGGTGCTCCCTCCAAGAAGCAAACAAAAGGTTTCTCCTCTGCAATTAGCAGGTGATACCTGCCTCCAGACACCCCATGAAGCAGGAATCACCACTTAATTTGTTCTAGAAGAACCTGCCCATTCAACCAATCAATAGATATAAGTTGCTGGTTTGTTGCAAATTAGGAGACAAACATGATAATTCTCACAGACATAACGTGTCACTTATAAAACCAAAGTGAATATACTGGAGAATATTAAAAAAACAATTTCCTACACATGCAAGGTTTACCAAGATGAGAGGGCAATAGCACTAAGGAGGCAAGTGCAGCACAAATGAAAAGGGTATAATACATAGACAGGATGTCCAAAATGTCTGATATCAGGTATATTAAATTTCTACTGTTGCTGTAAAAAATTACCACAAAATAAGGGGCTTAGAATAACAGCAATTTATTTTATTATAGTTCTGGGAGCCTGAAATCCAAAATGAGGTTTAAGGGTTGAAATTTTGGTATCTACAGTGTTGGTTACTTTTGGAGGTTCCAGGACAGAATCCACTTCCATGTCTTCAACAGCTATATGGGATGTTGCTGGCATTCTTTGGGTTGTAGCTACATTATCCAAACTCTGTCCTCAAGGCTTCTTTTAGCTTTCCTTTTAATGGTTTTTTTTTGTGTGTGTGGTGCTGGAGAGTGAACCCAGGGCCTTGGGCATGCAAGGCAAACACTTCAACAACTGAGCTACATCCCCAGCCCTTTGTTTCCTTTTTATTGAGGCAACCATGATTCCATTTAGGGCCCACTGAATAACCCAGGACAATGTCTCCATTTCAAGGTCCTTAATCACATCTGCAAAGTATTTTTAGCCATATAAGGTGACAATTACAGATCCTAGGAAGATCCTGATGATGACCTATTAAATTCTGTGCAGTCTTATCTCTGCAAAGATACCAGACTCAGTCCTGAGTGGAGTTAAAAGGAGACACCATCAATCAGTATCTGATTCCACATGGGAGAGGAGAGGCCTCTCCAGGTTGTTTCCTATGAAACAGCTGCTGTTCCAAGAGGAGGAAATGAGAAGTAATAAGTGCCATTTGATGAGTGTAGATTCATATTGTGGGATAAAGTTGAAGACACAAGAGCCAAGTATACAAGACTCCAGAAGGCTAATCCTGGTTTTGTTCAGAAGATCCACAACAGACTGAACATAAGAGTCATGACATATGCACCGACATCTCCATTTTCTCATCTAGTACCATTAAGGTCGGAATGTTTGAGTTGCCTCTTCCCCTAGTTCCAGTGCTACAGGATCCCTCTGGCCTTCACTGCAGCCCTATTCTCCCCCGCCCCACCACTCATTTTCTTCCTGTTCTCAAACTGGACAGGCACTTTGCTACCTCAGCCTGTGTGCAGTCTGTGTCCATGCCTTGAATTAGGTCCCTTCTAGCTCCTACAGCTACTTGCTGCTTAGGCCTCAGAAAGTAATAGCTAGGCAACCCTGCCAGTTCATCGGCTTTTGTAACTTTCCATCCAGCCTGTTTGTTTTCTCAGAGATTGAGTGACACCTTTCCACTTTACAATACTTTGTGTGTATGTGTGTGTATGTGTGTGTGTGTGTGTGTGTGTGTGTGTGTGTGTGTGTGTGTGTGATTGAACGCAGGGCCTCCTGTATGCTAGGCAAGTGCTCTGACATTGAGATACATCCCAGGCCCACAATTTGTCACTTTAAAATAATGGTCATCGTGTGTGTGTGTGTGTGTGTGTGTGTGTGTGTGTGTGTGTTTTTCTCCTTGTTTCATTGTATCCACAGTCCCTCAAGGACAATGTCAAAGGGAGAAGAGTGTGAGAGGCTCCATTTGCATGTGAAAATGGAAGATTTTTATTAGCCCCATTCTGTGCAGCAAACCCAAGACCAATGGGGAACAATACCAAGACTTCATTTGAATGTACCTATTACACTATTCCTCCACTCATTCATTCCTTCAACTGTGTAGCTGGGAACCTCAGGTTCCCCTAGTTCACAAGCTTTGAGATGTTTGGTCAATAGCAGGACAGATACAGGAAATACAGCAGCCCTAGCATACTGCCTATTTCTCTTGCACACTAGGGTCACCATGGCCTGGGCACAGAGATTTAAGATCACTTAGAAAACAGGGTCACAGTCCCAGACTCCATTCCCCCACCACCTTTAAAAAAAATACAGTTTGTGTAGGCTGAGTATTCCCCAGGCATGAGTGAAGAAGTTGAATTCAAAAGACCCAAAGAGATCACTGTCTCCCATTGGAATGAGCTTGAATGTGGCTTCCACTTTGGTGACAACCCCTCCCCCACTTCTTCATCTAACAAAGATCCTCCACATCTCTCCAGAAGCCTAACTCTGTCTCCCCTACCCATAAAAGTGACTGGGAGGAAGTAAGAGTCAAAAGCTGACAGGCATTGCAAGCCATCCCAGAGATTCCAGGCCTCCGTCTGGCTCCACACAATTCCCCATAGTGGTCAAGGGGCACAGGTGCAGTCTGGAAATCCACAACCCTTCACGACTGGCTCCCCATCCTGATTTAACAACAGGTATTTCCTGTTGGGGTCAAAAACCCTGAATTTGGGAAATGTCAGAACCTTAAGTCCTCTGAAGGGCTCTGTAGGGAAGCAGCACTAAGGGAGAGGGTAGAGCTAAAGGAAGACCATGAGAACCTCTAAAAAAGCCCTGGAAATCCAAACCCGCTGGGAATACTGAGGAAAGCATGCTCTAGCGAGGATAAGTGAACTGAATCCAGGTGGGGGTTACTCAGGTCAGGGTTACATAAACGGGTGTAGAGAAAAGGTTGCATGGGACTTACAAAGGGCAGTGGTATCTTTCTAGAGAAACAAGTGGGTGGATCTGGGAGATAGAGGCACTCCTGCACCCTGAATACCATGGAGGGAAGGGGTTGCCCCCATAAGCATCCACCCTGGGATGGGTTCAGGTCAGGACCTCACTCTTCCCATCCCAGGTTCCCCTGTCTCACCCAACACCCTTCCTCCCTCTATTTTGACCCTCCTCCCCCACCATATCCCCTCACCTTCACCCTCCTATCCTTACACCCTGCCTTCACCTCCTTGCTTCTCTCTTTGCTTCACCCTCACTCTTCTATCTGCACCCACCCCATCTTCCACTTACCTCCACTATCTCCCCTTCACCATACTGTCCCCATCCCTGCCCCTCCTACCTTCACCCCACTTCATTGCCATCTCCTGCCTTCACTCTCCTACTTGAACCCGATCCTCTTTGCCTCTCCTCCATTCTCCTGCCTGGGGCTCCACTCCCACCTACACGCCTATACTCTGTTTAATGTTTTGAGTATGATATTGAATAGGAGTGGTGAGAGTGGATAGCCTTGTCTTGTTCCTGATTTTAGAGGAAATGCTTTTAGTTTTTCTCCATTTATTATGATGTTGCCTTTAGATATGTCATAAATGGCCTTTATGATGTTGAGGTAAGTTCCTTTGATCCCTAGCTTCCGCAGCATTTTTAACATGAATGGGTGTTGGATTTTATCAAAGGCCTTTTTCTGCATCTGTTGAGATGATTATGTGATTTTTTCCCTTAATTCTGTTTAAGTGTTGAATTACATGTATTGATTTGCATATGTTGAACCAACCCTGTATCCCAGGAATGAAACCCACTTGGTCATGGAACATTATCTTTTTGAGGTGTTTTTAAATGTGGTTTGCTAATATTTTATTAAGGATTTTTGTACCTACATTCATCAGGGATATTAGTCTGCAGTTTTTTTTCCTGGAACATCTTTATCTGGTTTTAGTATCAGGGCTATAAAAAATATTTGGTGGCTGGGATTGTAGCTCAGTGGTAGAGAGCTTGCCTAGCATGTGTAAGGTACTGAGTTGGATTTTCAGTGCCATATATAAATTAAGGTCCTCTACAATTAAATAAAAATTAAAAAAATATTTGGGAGTTCCCTCCCTTTCAATTTCATGGAACAATTTCAGAAACACTGGTGTTAGTTCTTCTTAAAGGTCTGGTAGAAGAATTCAGCTAAGACTCCATCAGGTCCTGGAGGTTTTCTCCTGGAAGGATTTTAATTGCTCTTTCAATTGCATTATTTGATATTGTTTTTCTATCTTCCTTACTCAATTTAGGTAGGTTATATGTATTTATAAACTTGTCAATGTCTTCCAGATTTTCCAGTTTATAGAAGTATAAATTTTCAAAATGAATTCTGGGAATCCTCTGGATTTCAGATGGTTTTATGGTGATACCTCCTTTTTCATCTCTTAGCTAACAAGATTTGGGTCTTCTCTTTCTTTTGTTTAGTTTGGCTAAGGTTTGTTAATCTTATTTATCTTTTCAAAGAATCAACTCTTCGTTACATTGATCTTGTGTATTGTTTCCAATTCTCAATTTCACTGAATTTGGCTCTGATTGTTTTTTCTATTTCAGTAGCATATTTTTATTATGAAGAATGTGGGTAAGAATTAAATTCAAAGGCAATTTGAAGAGATATTGAGAAAGAAATCAAACACATAACACTGTGAAATCAGTACTGCTTGAAAGCTGTTGTAAATTTGCTATTTGACTTGCTTTCTATTTTTATTTTTATTTATTTATTTATTTTTATTGGTTGTTCAAAACATTACAAAGCTCATGACATCATCTTCCATACATTTGATTCAAGTGGGTTATGAACTCCCATTTTTTAACCCCAAATACAAGTTGCAGAATCACATCGGTTACACATCCAC